CGCAGCAAACACCAATTTGCGCGTAATCCTGCCATCAGAACCCTCGAACCCTCGAAAGTACTGCGCCTGCCACGTATTTTGTACTTCGCTGCCTATGTAAGGAAACCTCCGCGGGGCAAACTTAGGGCTACGCCCGTCGTAGTAGTAGTAGTAGTAGTAGTAGTAGCAGTAGTAGCAGTAGTAGCAGTAGTAGTAGTAGTAGTAGTAGTTGTAGTAGTAGTAGTAGTAGTAGCAAGCACTCCTTTCTATCGTGCCTCGGAGAAACGATCCTCGGCCGTGATAGGCCGAACATTCCCGACAGGCAACGCTGCGCACCACAGGTGCCGCAGGCTGCGTTAGGGCAAACCTACGACGTTACTGCCGTGCTCACTTGAGCCAAAACGGTAACGAATTAGGAATGATGTACAACGTGCAAAACAAGAACACATGAGTACACTCTATGCGCTCTAAAGGACGACACATGGCCCCACGGCCATGTACAGTTACATTCTCCCCTCAGCCGAGAGCACGGACGTGTGCAGTTCGGGGCATGTGGCCGCAGGCCGTAAAAGCACTCCTACCGAAACCCTACCGAACTCTACACGCTCGGGCTCTCTGCCATTTTAGCGCACACTGCTGGCACGAGGCTCCTGAAACTAACGTACCATAGCCGCAACTCATTGAGGTCACGAGCCATGTGAGACAAAAACGGGCAGCAGCAGGTTGCCACTCCGCGCGCTTCGGGAGCACAACCGTGCCTCCCAGCCACAAGCGTCAGCGACCTATATATAGAGCGGGTACTCCACCCTGTCGTCGGATCGGCGAGCAGCCGGGATGCCAATTTCATGGCGCTCGCAACCGGGTGGCAATCCGCGACCTCAGATCCATGGTGGCCTTACTGCGCTTCAGGCATCTCAGCACCTGCCTCGTTCGAAGCAAGCGCGGCCTCATTCGAGTCTTGCTGGGCCTTACGGCCCCGTCACTTAGCCTTGGGGCGAGCGTCGCGCTCCACCCCGGCTCCACCGAGCGTGGAGGCCCTCGCCCACTCCATTCCAAAGGCATCAAGCCATTCGATTGGCGAAGTCGGAGAATTGATCTCAGCGTTGGCCCGAGAGATCGCCGAGAAGTTCAGGCTGCCTACTATGCACGACGCCGTCCCGTCGGTCGATGGGCTCAGCACCGACTTGGCGTGGTGGATGCCAGTAAGGCTTTGGCGACATTCACGTCTGTACGGCCTTCGGCCCGGTAGGCAGCCCGAACGGAAGATCCCTTTCCGACCCGCACATACCCGCACTTGGGCTCCGGATGCTTCCGCCTCCTTCAGGGTCTGGAATTGCATCTTCGTCTTGATCATCTGTGAATGGTCCGCGAGGATCCGAGCGTGGACCCCTCGCCGAAAAGCCTCAACAAGGGCGACAACCACGGGCCTGCTATCGAAGCTGTAGGCCCTAAGGTAGACGTAGTGCCCGCTCTGGGCAGCAACGAGGAGGGAGATGACTTCGAAACATAGCTGGGCAAAGTAAGGAACTTCAACCCAGCTCGTTCGTACCCATCCGGGATCACGAACTCATTCACCCCGGCCGCTGGTGAAGCCAAGAGCGGACGCAACGTGCCCCTTACCAGGAGGGGGACGCACCGGCTTCCGCAACCTGGAGCTCCTCCGAGCTCGGCTCGGCCTCGGCGGCCTGCCCCAGGCAGGCTCCGCTGCTTCTTCTTCCTGTTCCTCTTCTTCATCCTCTTCCTCAGCTTCTGCATCAAAACAATCATACAGAAACTCCACAGTCTCACGCCACAGCTTAGTCTCTTCCTGCAGCTTGGTAGTGTCACTCCCTCAGGCCGCCCAGCGACCTCCACACTCATGGTGAGGAAGCTGGAATGAACGCAAACCGCGATCAACAAAAACCAAGGCCTGGTGGCGCAATCTCAAGGTGCGCACCTACCCAGACCACGCCGGCGCCAAGTGACACGGGCCAGCCGCGCCGACTAGTCCACAACGCCCTAGGGTACCGTTTCCCAGAACAACTCCCAATTGTGAAGGCACAAAGTGCCCAGAGTTGCCGAAGCAATCTTAAGCACTCCTTTTTATCGTGCCTCGCAGAAACGATCCTCGGCCGTGACCGGGGCGAACAGTCCCAACAGGCAATGCTGCACACCACAGTTGCGGCAGGCTTCGCTATGGCAAACCTATGACGTTACTGCCGTGCTCACTTGAGCCAAAACGGTAACGAATTAGGAATAATGTACAACCTGCAAAACCAGAACACAAGAGCACACTCTATGCACTGTAAAGTACGACACATGGCCCCACGGCTATGCACAGGTACAAGTAGTCGTCGTAGTAGTAGTAGTAGTAGTAGTAGTAGTAGTGGTACTGGTACTGGTACTAGTACTAGTACTAGTACTAGTAGTACTGGTACGAGTACTAGTACTAGTACCAGTACTAGTAGTAGTAGTCGTAGTAGTAGTAGTAGTAGTAGTAGTACTACTAGTAGTACTAGTAGTACTAGTAGTACTAGTAGCAGTAGTCGTAGGTGGCAGTGGCAGTGGCAGTGACAGTGGTAGTGGTAGTGGTAGTAGTCATGGTGGTGGTAATCGTAGCTGTAGCAGCAGTAACAGTAGCAGCAGTAGTAGTAGCAGTGGTAGCAGCAGCAGTAGCAGTAGGAGAGGTAGTAGAAGAAGTGAAGAATAAGCAGTAGTAGTAGCAGTAGCAGTAGCAGTAGTAGCAGCAGCAGCAGCAATGCAGTAGGAGCGAGCTGGAGGGAGGAGGATGGGGAGTAGAAGTAGGAGATGAATAGGAGTCAGTAGGAGTAGGAAGAGGAGTGGTGAGTGCACGCATAAATGTCAACGAGCGGTTGTGTACAGAGTTGCATGCAAGTCGGCCTGTTATCATTGTACTCACAAAGTGACGGCAGTTCATGTTTTGTAGCGGGCGATGTTCCTTTATAGATGCGCGTGCAAGGTTACAACGCAAATGCCAAAGGCATCTAGCCGAGCAATCGGGCAGAGGCGGACAGTGGACACAATGACCTGTAAGTTGGAGGCCTGCAGACACATGTTTGCTCGCATATTGGCTCTTCCTTGCGTTGCTTATCACCACTGCGACTCAGAGCAAGATTGCAGCAGGTACATGTCTTTTCCGGATCCATGAAGCAAAAGGAACGCAAGGGGCTAGCATCCCACCATCTTTACAAGGCAGGCAGTCGTCACAGATTTCGGACTTCGTTGAGAGAAGATGCCCGCATGTGAAGGCTTTTGAACTGGGCCCTGATGAAATCTTTGCATCGCTTGGAGGACGTGCAGCCTGGAACCCAGAAGGGTTTCGTAGCCTCATGCGATCTCATGCGACATCATTTTGAAACAGTTCCAAAACTGCGAGAGATTTGAGCCGAGGCAGATTCAATTGCTCCTTCGCAGCTGCGGCGGGCCGTGTTTCCGCTCGAGCGGCTGCACCTCTTCGGGGAGGTGCTTGCATGTGAACCGAGCATGAAGGCCGTACGCCTTTGGCTGCATAATCAGGCCTTCAGTGCGGACTACATGGACCGCGAGTTCAGGGAGCTTTGCTCTAGCTGTGACCGCAGCCAGGCGACGAGAATTTCAAGTTTGACAGCATGCGGCATGTAGCAATATGCAGCAATCACATCCTCCCGTTGTGCTGCTGTTCGCCGGAAGGATGGGCGGCTGACCTTCGTCGACGTCCAGACAGCGCAGCACCAGGTTTCCAAGCGACTCGAGGCAATCAATGCGCAGCACTGTGCCGCGATGAAGTGATGAGGGAATCTCTTTTGGAGGACTTCCGCCGTGCGCTGGAGCAGCGCAATGCAAACTGGTGGGTGGGGTCCCCAGTGCAGCCGGGCCTGTCCTGGCCTCGAGCTCTGCATTGATCTGAGCCGTGATGCTCCGCTGACTCCGCTCTGTTGATCCGCAAGGTGCACGGTGTCCAAACCGTGGGCTCATCCTTGCAGTCCCTCGGGACAGCTTCCTGGGACTGGGCAAAGTGCTTTGACAGAAACCCTTACCTCGAACTAGTCAGTGGGCGTGTTGTTCGCATCACATGGCCAAGGTACGCAGCAGAGCTAGATCCGCAGCAGAAGGTAAGAGGATAGCTTGAGTCGTTGCAGATGAAGAGATGTAGCGAGTAGCTCCTTTCATTTGCGCAGGTGTCGATGCTGCACAAGGCCTTGGACATGACCAAGCAAGCTCATGCTGGACAGGCAGCTGTGCTGAGCTGGACCTTCAGCGACTGGTGATCATGTGTTTTTTATGTCCCAGTCAGCTTGAGTAGTATTCTGTCCCAAGCCTGTCGTGCGTAATGCGTGTCTGCATCGTGTCAAGAGTCAATGAACTTGCTCAGTCGCTCGCACTGCTGGGGCAGGTTCGAAAATCTGGTGACCCGTACTGGACACATCCACTCGCAGTTGCAGACATTCTTGACAGAGCCTTACTTTTGAAAGCAGCCCTTGATTTTCACTGCGACTTGGACATGCTTGCTTTCTAATTGAAGTTGAGGCACGTGCTTTGCTACCACCGGACTCCACACCACCAGAGCCACGCTGGCAGCTAGATGGTCCAGGCGCCCTGGAACAGGACTGTTCCAGAGAGGGCGATGGTACTGTGATCAAAAGTAGCAATACTTGATGCCGCACGTAACGCGCAGTACTTCTGCTAGGACGCTCAAAAGCTTTGGCCTCGAGTCGCAGATGGTCCTGATGACATCTTCGCAATGTGCACTGCTTCAGCTACAGTACATCCTGGAAGAAGTGTCTTTGCTTGCCTGCAGCAAGTGCAGGTACACAGCTGCGCTGCTACACGACACGGTCGAAGCGACCTCGGCAAGCTTGTTCAAGGTGTAGAGTTGCGTTGCGGCTGCAGTTTTTTTGTCAATATCGGCGGGGCACATGTGACCCGGGCTCGAATGAATTCAGTCGGAAGAATCACAGCTCACTTGGCTCCTTCTCCCACAACAGGCCGAACTTGTTTGCCAATGTGGGCCTGTTGCCTCCAGGGCTAGCCTGGACTAAGCCTCTCCCTGCCGAGACCACTCTTACGATTGTTTGCTTTCGGGCATGATGGGCACCGCATCCGGAACAGGTTGTCATCGGTGATGCTGATATGTAAGTCAAACCATGCTTGCTTGGCGCACTGAAGCTGGAAGCGGCTTCTGGCAGAATGTAGTTCGACCCTGTAGCCTGATGGAGGTATTTGGAAGTCACTAAACCACCATGGCAGAAGATGGCAGGACACGAACGTCACACTGGACCAGATTGAGGCGAGGACAAGTGTAGGTCATGTATCTGTTTGCCTAGGGCTTCAAGATGACAGCACTGCTACTGCTGGCACGGCTACAAAGCACGGAGCAGATACAGACACGACCACTTCGACTCAGGATGCGTTTGGCCCAGTCGTTGCATCACTGGTGGACGGTGTGACCAAGGCCCATGCTTCGGCGAAGCAGTCGCACGCGTCACTCACGCACTCTCACACACAGACACACACGGGATGTCTTGCGGGAGCATGAAAATACAGGCATCTCAAGCTTCATGTACGAGATCGAGAGCGTCGCGATCTGCTCAGGATCTGCGCAAGGTGCACAAACAGTACTGCAAGTGAGCAGGCCTAAAGATTCTAATTCGTGTTCGGATTGAATACAATTACAAGCTGGACTAATGCATCGGCTCAGGGTACTGCTGTCGAACGCACGGTGACGAGTGGCAGGTGCTGACACGCGCTGCGCAAGACGTTCGAGTACTCGTCATCAAGTTTGCAGACCGCCTGCACAACATGCGGACGCTGGAGACCCGTTCGTGTCGCTTCGCATGACCACTTCATGTCTCTAGACCGGCCTCATTGCCAAGCGTTTCGGCTAGAATACCTTCTGGATAAGCACAGTGCTGAATTTGCGACGCTGTTGGAGCTGAGTTAAAAGGAGCACATGCCGGCTTCCAAGCAGCGTCGAATCGTCTGTCTCCGAGTGCAATGCCGTGGGCAGAAATATCAGCAATTTGTGAGGAGCCAAGGTTTGCGTGATACCTGCGGCAGGCTGAAGAGACCAGAGCGGTGTACGTGCCGCTGGCAGAACGATTGGGTGTGCACATTTGGAAGACCGAGTTTGAGGAGCTCGTTTTTGAGACTGCCCCTGCTCTGACAGTCGTGCATCGGGCATCCAGTTGCCGTCATCATAGTCCCGGTTCAGCAGGAAAGTATTGATGGTGTTTTGCTCTCGATGTTCAGGGTCCAAAACGTTTGCAGGTTGCCTTCACTGGCGCTTGCCCCCCGCTTGCCGGGGTCGGCAGATAATCAAATCCACAATGTGGAGAGAGTCTCCAATCGACCAGACGTCAAGAGGCCAGATGCCCACGAAGATTGAATTCCGACAAGTCGCAGCACCCAACAGTTGTCAACGCGTTGTCATTCAGAGTCCGAGAGTTGAGCACTGCTTGCAGCCTCTGACTCTGCAGGAGCTGTGCTGCCGATATCTGAATGGTTGCGCGTATGAGGCAGGAATCCGAGCCGCTAACGAGCCGAATGTGTGATGTGAGCAGATGCGAGCAGGAAGTTCTAGAGCGCAACCGGCGCTCGCAGGCTTGCTTCCCGGTGACTCAGGCATCTTGAATCTTGCATCCAACAGTTTTCGCCAGGTTGCCAGGCAAAGACACCGCCGGTACATTCAGCAGTACATCCGAACCATGATGGTGATGGCCTTCGTGCTGGGTCATGGGTTGCATGCCTGCTGCTGTTCCATGCTGTTCCAGTAACATGCGTCATGTTCTCGACCCCTTGCTGAGGTGGAGATGACCTCCGATTCCATCCTGGAGATTTGCGTACGCGAGGTGCGAACACCGAGAAAGACACTGTGAAGTTCGTCGATGTAGTAAGTGAGCAATGCTGAAGCAAGTGGAGGAGCCACCGCACACACAACTGCGGCGATGGGCAGACCGTCCAGAAACGGATACTCCACAGCCAATCCCACGAGTGCGGATAGTGACAAAGGCTCGGGAAGTGGCAATGAAGGCACTTGAAGGCTCCTGGACGAAGTCGGCAGGATCGCGACGCTTGTTGGGCTTGTCTCGGGCGGATCCACTCCATCCTACCGCCCATGCACGGCGCTCTTCCGTTCTGAGCTCGAGGACCTCGGATTCTACGCACGCTTTCAGCTGTCTTAGGCCGGGTCGGCTGCGCGACTACATCTCCTCACCAAAGGTGGGGCCGCACCGCACAGCACCGCACCGAATAGCTCTCACAGCAGTGATCCGCAGTGAGCACAGGAGAATTTGTATATGTGCCTCCACACGACCGTTCTCATGGATGGCACTGCAGTTGAGGCAGGGGCAGCCGCAAGCCGCTGGGAGTATCAGCATGCTGCACTCGACCACTATGCCAGGTCTATATTTTGAGCCTGCAGATGGAGTGGGTCGCCGAGTTTGGTGTCGGTGCATTTTGGCGCCACAACGAGGCCGTGATTTTGCTGGCGGTAACGCACAGCACGGAAGGCACTGGAGAGAGCCGTCAGGACCTGCAGGAAAGTGAAGCCGGTAGGGGCTTCTTGGCGGCCCTGCATTCAACCTGGATTTTGCAGGTGCCTTCTCTCTGAGTGTCGTCTATAACTGTAGATGCTTGTCGTTCAGCCCTGCAGGCCAACCAGTCCCTCACACACAGCCTGCACTCGTTGGAGGTGCACAATCAGAAGTCGGGAAGCATTGAGCCGGAAATCGGTGCACAGTGCGAAAAACTCCGAATTCTACTGTATTAGTAGTTATCAGGAGGTGTCTGGTTGGGTCAATGCCTGCTTGCTTTGCAAACCGATAGGAAACCCAAATTCACACCCCACTCTCAAGACCTGCGGGACTTGTGGCACGGTTGTTTCCACTGCCTCTGGTGCTGCTGCTGCTTCTAAGACTACCATTACTGCTGTTGCTGCTACTACTACTACTACTACTACTACCGCTACTACTGCTCCTGCTCCCGCTCCTGCCCCTGCTCCTGCTCCTGCTGCTGCTGCTGCTGCTGCCGCCACCAGCGCCGCCACCAGCACCACCAGCACCACCACCACTACCCTGCTGCCGTGCTGTATGCTAGCTGTTAATGACCATGTCTAGGAAGCACGGTGGTGGGGGAAGTTGCAGTCCTTCCCACCAAAAGCATTGCGTCCAGGCGCTGCTTGAAGTGCCCTTCCCTTCAACGTCCCCAAGCATCTGGCAGCATGCCTTCCGATTCATTCTACAGCTTGTGGGATTTCAAGGGTGCTGACATGATGGAGATAATGCAGGTACACGTAACATGCAAGTATGAAATAAACCGCGGACTCCTAGATTTTCGACTCACAGGTGTCCATGGAGCCATCGTCATTACCGACATCGAAGTCAACTTCAAGCCGTCAATCGGTCGAGAGCGCTGAGAGCCAACCAAAGTGGAACTTTCAAGACTCGGACGGAACTTCTCCACTGCAAATGCAAAGCGTGAGCACCAGCAGTGAGCCTCGCAGCTCACTGTTGGACCGCTCACCTCAGCGATTTGACTTGGATCGTGGTTCTTTTGACGAGGGCACCCGCGAAGCACTTGTGCAGTCCCCAGTTCTGCACGCCCGGAGACGCTCAAGCGGGATCTGCTGTGCCCTGCACTTCCAGGTTGATGAACCTGGTGCTGCTGAGCAAGAAGATGGACTGTGCGCCGCGATCTGGATAGTGGATCAACTGATCCAATGCCTGGCTTTCAGATCTTGTCAGGTACGCGGTTCAACCACTGTTGGCCTGGCACGATTGCACGAACCAATTCGGCCCAAGCACTGGCAGTTTTTTCAAGGCCTCCGGGTGTCAGGCTGCAGCATATTTCGAAAGTGGCTTCCGATTTTGCCGGTGGCACAGGCAGGCTTTGCATCATGGCATGCTTGGGAATGTCTTGAGTCGGACAGATTCTTTCAGGAAACAAAGAACGAGATGATGGTGAGGCTGCCTCACCACTGGTTGCGATTTGTTTGCCGGCCTGCCTGGTCCTGCCCATGCAATCCATGCCGTTCATGTGCACAGCTGGATGTTTGCTACTTAGTACGGCGTACGGCCTCAAGCGAGCTTGAAACACGTGGGATGTTTGTCAGCGAATGCGGCACAAGGGTTTAAGGCGCATGTGTCGGTCTTGTCGCAGGCAAAAACCTGCTTTTGCCTTTCCACAGCAATGAGATGTGCAAAAACATCGTGCATTGGTTTAGTCGGGAGCGGTTGAACAGCAACGAGACCCTGTAAAACGACATAGGACGACCCAAAGACGATACCCTGTAACAATACACTGTAAAACGACATGGGATGCCCAAATGGCCCTAATTCACACACGAACGAATAGTTTTGACCCGGTGCACATCCGGGCCAAGACATGGCAAAGCCGTCATGGGACTAGCACGATCCTGCACGCGCTCCTTTTGGTTTCCTCTGATCGTTGTGGCAGGATGGTGGCGAGCTGCTGGCAGAGTTGCATCGTGCCTACAGTGAGGCCTTTGCAAGGTTCGAACATGAGACTTAGACGCAGGTTGTTCTCCTTGTTCTGGGCAGGCCTTGCGTGAGAAAGTCGCGGTCTTCACTCCAACAGGCTTGTGAGAGCAGTCTTTCAGTCTGCCAGCAGACGACGAAGCTTTCGATCGCTGAGCAGGCCGAGTGCTGTACCTTCCCAGGGATGCGACCCCACTCGATTTTGCAGTGTGGAATCTCGGTGCGAAGAAGGCTTCACACCACATGTGTGGAAATAGGAGTGTTAGGTTTGCTCGAGTGCAGAATCCGCTACGGCAGGCAAAAGTTTCGTTAGTCTCGCCTGCAGGGCCTGCGAGCAGAGGCTGCTTTCATTGACAGCAGCGAGGCGACGTTAAACACGAGGCTGCGAGAGGCGCCAAGTCTATGTCCGTCCTGAGCTTTTTGGACCGGTGGGAGCCGGGAATCCGCTGTGCCCGTATGTTCCTATCACAGGGTCAGACCGTCCTCGTGCACTTGCAAGATGACGAAAAGCTGCTGCCGCCGCTGGAATGGTCTGGTGTCCATCTCAGGCCTCGACCTTTAAGTCGCATTCGGCATTCTGCTGAGCGATAGTCTTTTTGCCGTTGTGGCTCCAACCACCCGCGATAAATGTGCTGTTTTCGTAGCTTGAGCTGTCTTGTTTCGGAATGCAGGTATTTGCGTACAACGCGTGCTCGAGCAGCCCTCGTAGACATGAGGACTTCGAATCGGGATCTTTAGGTCTCACCAGTCCACGCCCACCGCGGTTTTTTTTCCAACCCAAACACGTGCAGGACTCAGATGCTGTCAGAGCAGCAGGCAGTGGAAGAAGGACGGGGGAATCCTGGAAGCAAACGCAGGAAACAAGCAGGGCAGATCGTGAAGAAGCTTGAAAGGACGGGAGGCAATCCGGAAGGAGCTGGCACTACACAGTTGCCTGCTCAGCCTGAAGCCGTCACCAGCCTTGATGTGGTGAAGATCTCAGTACGCCTTCAAGGTCTCGACCTGTCCCTGCGACAGCAGCTCGGAGACGAGGTGCTCGCGGCCGTAGGTGCGGCAGACGGGGATACACATTCATACATCCAGAGAGCGAGAGAGAGGAGAGAGAGAGAGAGAGAGAGAGAGCGCGCGACAGAAACAGCTGTGAAATTGTGCTTCAACTCAGCTAATCTAAGTAGTTGGAAGTCGCATGGAGATAAACCAACTTTTGATTGCCTGCTTTCCCCTTGGAGGGTTCAGTGTTGCACACACACACACATAATATTATATATAGATATATATGTGCGTGTGTGTGTATGCGTATGTGTATGTATATATGTATAAAGAAATAAATAAATAAATATATATATATATCCATTCCACGCATTCAGGGGAGTACGCTGCCTAAGTAGAATGCAAGCCAGCAAGACAGGAGTACTGGGACAAGGTGCAGAATGCCTCCGGCAGCTGATGCGTAAGCCCAGAACCCTCCCTGCAAACTGTGGAAATACTGAAGTCTAAACCAGCTGAAAAGCTGTACCCCCAAGTGCCCTTCAAGGCTCAAAACTGAACATGAAAGCACTGCACCAGTGAAGCTTACCCTCACTGCCAGCAGCGCAGTCGAGAGATGCCACTACGTAGCCTGCCCCGAAAGACTTTCGCACATCTTGCAGAGTGACAGCCACTTCGGGGCAGTTTAGGCCCGTGCGCTTCCTGTCCACAGCCTGCTTGGCAAGTGGCCTTGTCAGTGATACAAACATCGCTGCAGGCCAACCTGAAGACCTGATCGCCTGCCATTCCAGGGAAGCCCGCCAGATCACGCAGCCCACGTGGGTCCCACTTGCGAAGCTCATCCGCGATGACATGGAGCAGGGAGGTAATGCAGCTGGCCCAGGCTCCCCAAACTCGATTGGTTTGGCCATCTTGGAAGGATGTGCCGACAATGTCCACTGCATCCATTTGGTTCTTGTCAACGACACAAAAGCCGCCACGAACCTGAGTGGGATGCAGCTCTGCGATCTGCAGCCCGTCCGCATCAAAACTCCGTCCATCCAGCATGGGAGCAGCGTCATAACCAGAGACTGTTGTGCCAGACACGGCAAGCCCCCGCCCAAGGCCTGACAAGATGTTTCCCCTTATTCTTGATCTCAATGCTTCCCACATTCCCACAAACTCATGCACAGGACAATTGAGCGTATTATCGCTGACATTGGCCTCGTCATGCAACTCCGTAAACCTTTGCCGTCCACGACTGCTCCAGCACATAGAGCTGCTGTCCACAAGGTGGTCGATCGTCCGTTCTGTCACGACGCCATCCGCCGTGTACTCTGTAATCCCTGTACCGTCTGCCTGCACAGCACAGGCATCACCTCAGTGCATAACACTTCCTCTTCTGGACCTTTAGGCTGCACAGCTTCTGGGAAGGTCTGGGGACTGCACAGCTCATGGTTGCTCATCGCGTTGCCCGACGAAATATGAGTTCGCCCCAAAAGGCCTGCACACGTAAAGTCCTCTGAGCCTGTAGGTTGTAGATCATATCTGCTCCGGCAGTTGCAAAAGTCCGTGTAGGAAGGGAAAGCATAAGAGGCGGAACCTGCTGAGTCATAAGAAGCCCACCGCAATCCACTGCAAGAAAGGCATCTACTTTCCATGGCGAACCCGAACTGCCGAAAAGGAGTTCTGGGGTCCCGGCAATATGGTCGCTAGAAACCGCTCGATCCCAGACCCTATCTATATCTATGGCTATATATGTATATATATGTGTGTGTATATATATATATGATGATGATGACCCTCCCCCCCCATGATCCACCCCAGCCTTCTTGTCCACTACTCCTGTCCAGTCCTTTGTCACAAGATGCTTAGTCCTACTGTCAGAATTTATCGGCATTTACGGTGTGTTCTGCACCTCAATGTACATGTATGTATGCTGCTTTTGTGTCTTTATATCATAGGTAAACGAGCCCAAACCAAAACCAGATTCTGGTTCTGATGCCGCGCTCCTGGTCTACTGCTTCGTGAGACCCAGGCCGGAATCTGTTCTGCGTCCGCGCTAATTGCAAGAAGCATTTGAGCCCTTGTCAAGTAAGAAAACACAGGAAAGCTCTATCCTCTTCCATCACAAAAACACAAGAAAGCTCCTGCATCCCCTATCAGTGACTGAAACTCCACGAGCATACAGCTTGCCACTATCACGAAAGCATATTTTGATGTTCCGGAAAAGAAGTAGTCTCCCTCCACCATATTCCAAATACCTTCAATCACAAGTAAGGTGTGTCGAGGTTATGACTTATAACACGAATGGAACAGTTCCTCGTTTCTTAATTTGATGGTGGAATCTGACAACTCCTGTTGCAACCAGAATAGCAACTCAAATTTTCGTGTGATAGCAGCAAGCACAGAAACAACCACCAAGCAAAGATCACCATTGCTTCTCTGCATAAGAAATTTGGATGCACACCTTTATACCTTTGTGGGAATCAGGACAGCTATTTCTGGCAAGCGTCATTGATCTTCTCTTAGTAAGAAGCAAATGACCAGCTGGTGCAAGAAATCAAAAGAGTTGCCACATCGTTCAACAAGACAAAAATGGCTTCTCTCGCCTTTGCCTCATAGCAGCACGAGCAACCCCTCTACATCTCTTTAAGCCTGGAAAAGCTGCAAAAGCAAAAGAGTGCCGCTACATATTGAACACAGCTTGTCTCGATGACCGTTCGTATCTGATAACTTGATTACATACTTATGTATGCAATACCAATCAAATTAGCCCAGCGCATTGTATCAGTTGATACGTAATAAGGAAGGAAGCCTTCCCATCTTTTACATAACAGCAAGACGCCTGTTTGCCTCGCAAAATTCAAAACACAGAAAGGAACCGAGCCTTTTCCAACCATGGGCAGAAATAAGAAAGCTCAGTTGATGTTCAAAAATACAAAGCGTCATTTTGTGAGTATAAAATTTTAGAGCTCCTTCGTCTCTCTTAGACAATGACCGAGGTTAGGTACTTTGGTTGTAGCAAGAACTGTCTGCATACACAAGTATGAGGCATCGGCACGCTAGAAATTCAACCACGTCTAAACAACAACAACAACAACAATAACAGCAACAACAACAACAACAACTGCAACTGCTTCAGGCAACAATGAGGCTACCTGTATTGCTACACCTACTACTGCAATTAATGCTGTTAATATCATTACTGCTACGTTGTTGTTCATCTCGTTCCAGAGTTCAAGATGTCTACCATTGTGCCAGGCTCAAATTTCCCCAAAATTTCTAAAACCTGAAGTGCGGAAACACTGGCAGGGATAAAATTTCTCCAAAATTCCTAAAATCCTGGCATCTATTGGGAATGCGGGGGCCATAGTTGCTCAGATTTTAGGAACTGCGGGGAAACTTGATCCGTGCCGATGCTTTCGCATTTCAGGCTTCAGGAATTTTTGGGAAATTTGATCCCTGCCAATGTTTTCGCATCGGAGCTTCCCACCTCCCATCATCCGCTTTTTACAAAAAGCAGGTTCGGGTGGATCGCGGGGGTGAGCACACACACACACACATATATATATATATATCTGCACACATATACATGGTCGTGTGTGTATGTGTGTGTGCGCATATATACCTTTACATATAAATATGTATATGTATATGTATATGGTGCACCCCAAACGGATCTAGCCCCCATGGATCTACCATGTAAATTTTTCTTTTCGAGACAATCTTGCGCAAGGCTTTTGGCGATCAAAGAGGGATAGAGAAGGTTGCATGGAATGAAGAAGACGCTGGATCACAACGTGCTCGTCTTCCAACTTTCCAACCATATTCCAAGGAGACCCTAACAAGGTTTGTTGTTTAGGGACATTTAGGGACCTCGCGATGTGGTGGGCTTTCAAACACCAGAAACATTGGACAACGGATCGCGAGAAGTTGGCCTAGACTGGCACATG